TATATATATATATATATATATATATATATATATATATAATTATTATTATTATATATACATATTATATATATATATTATTATTATTTCAGACAATGAGCTTACCCATCTGTCCATCCGTCCGTCCGTTCGTATGTTACTACGATAACTACTTAGTTGGCAGAGCGCGTGCGTATTTGTGTGTGCTTGTGTTATCTGTTATGTGTGCATTAAAGAAACGCAGAATGGTTTGCATATTAGCTCTCCAAGTCGAGCACCTCAACTAGAGCGCTCTTATATATATACTAGCTTACAGTATATTAACTATTTCATCTTAGGCGGAATAAGGTTATGCGCCCCAGCCAATTGAGAATATTCGCCGGAACGTCACGGCGGCTTTTCAGATCGGACGACACACAAGAGCTTCTCGTGAAAAAACTCATCACACATCCGAAATTCAGTCATAGTAGCCTAACAAATGATGTTGCTGTTATAACTCTCAAAACCAAAGTGAAAATCGATGGAATTACTGCCGATGTGATACCCATACCGAACAAGGAGCCAACAATAGGAGCGAAGTGCACAGTGATTGGATGGGGTACTGTTATTCAGGTAGGTCTTTTAGGCTAGATCGTTGGCTTGAATCGATTCCATGCAACTGATTACAACAATCGAAAATTTGAAAAATAAAATAAGAAACTTGATCTGTGCTTCTCTATCTCTCCTGATTTGCGAGATCAACGATAAAGAGATCTTTTCAGATTTTGAAACATTCTTTTCGCTAATTCTCAATGAGCTTTAGACATAAATACCCATTATAATAGTAATGTAGTTCCCATTTCAATCTACGCTTCTAGTTTGGTCCAACACCTGACGAAGTGCTCAACGCCGATGTCTATATTCAACCATATGCCATATGCAAACAAGATACATTATTTACAAAGGGAATGCTTTGCGCCGCAGACATAAACGACTACGAGGTGGACAGCTGTCAAGGGGATTCGGGGGGTCCGTTAATTTGCGATGGGTTCGTAACTGGCATCGTCTCCTTTGGTATTGGCTGTGGGGAGAGGGGCTCATATGGAGTGTACTCCGATGTATACTACTATCGCAACTGGATAAACAACAATAGAGCCACCCAACAGAAACTGAATGGCTTGCCGGCTTTCGCGCTGGCAATAGCAATAGCCTTACGAGCTTTTCGAATTCAATATTTTTAGTACTTATTCCTAAACAGGGCTCAAGCGACATGGGAACTTCATTTTTTATGAGAGATGAAAATATGCAATAATTCGCACTTTCGACGCAACAGGTGCGTGGCTGCGGCTTGCGGCTGGCATTCTGCAGATGACAAGCCAAAATTGAGTGAAATCATGGCGCTGAAGTCTTCTGGAAATTCCAAAACCAGCGACAAAATGCGGTGACCAACAGGCTTACCCGCATGCACTCACATTCCCACACCTACACACCCACACCCACATCTACACCCACACACACACCCACACAGCCACACACCCAATAAAGCATACACGAGCTCATTTTAGGCAACAGTTTATGGTTTATGAATGGCTGTGTTTGCTGTGCCTGACAGTAATTATCGCATCTCGAGAGGAGCGAAGAGGAGTGGCAGTGTCTCTAAAATACAACTCGTAGATTGTCAATAAGTTTTATCAGGTCAAAATTAAAGTAGCTCGCTCAATTCCAATGGCTCTGCTCGGTTTTATTGTCGCCTCTCACGAACACAGATCCGACAGCCTTGTGTTATATATTACGTATAGAAGAAACTTTACTTGACGACAGTTGATTGTCGTCCGTTTACTAGCTGAATGTAAGTTGAATGAAATACTCATCGTCAATCCAAATAAATTGGCATGGCATATGGATCGCATATGGTTTGTAATTTCACAGATTTGTGCAAGTAAAGTGAAAGCAAAATCTCATTCCCTAGTTCTACAAATCAGTAAAAATCAGTGCGGAAACATGTTGATTGAATATCCAAAATCCAATTAGTAACCGCATGCTCACACATGCTCACACATGCTCACACATGCACACACATACACACCTACACACATGTGCAATCACAAATACAATTAGAGAGGGCAACAATGACAAGAAGCGAAACCATTTGCTTCATTCTGCCGTTACACAAGTCACGCACACAGTCTATCACATACACATTCACAGACTATGAAGCAGCCACACACAACCAATCACACAAGCACACACTCACTTACACTCCCTTACCCAAACAGACAACAATCAGTTTGTCATTTCATATTCGCATTGTCTGCCGTTCAAGAGTTCATAATGAATTTAATCGCGTATGTTTATTGCTCACTTTTAAAGGGACGTACATCAATTCACACGCGCACACAAGCACGACGCGTGTGTGTGTGAGCGTTAGTGTGTCCTGAGAAAACATTCCCACAAGTTGTTTTGTCGCAACCGTCATTGGCGCACACACACACACACACACACACACACACACACAAAGCATAGTCAACACAGTTTATCATTTTGCCACGCTTCTTGTTTGCCAAGTGTTGGGTCGTCAACGTTCCTTTTGCATATTGATTTATCGCTGTTGTCACTGTCTGCCCTGGTGCTCTAGGCTAACAAGGATGTTGTTTTGGCTTGGTTGGGCTTGGTTCCGTTTCGGTTCGTGCCTGCTTGCCAGCCTCCACCTGATTCCCGTTTCGTGCCGTGGTAGCACAGTAAATTGTTTGCATATATTAGACACACGCCTCAAATTGCATTCTAAATGAAGTTCATTTGAAAATAATTGCAGTTGAACTTTATTGTCTCCGACGATTGCCCGCCTGTCAATGAAACATAAATACGGATGCCACTGAATGAAAATCTATTTGACTCGCAGTTAATTGGCCAATTACGATAATGTATAACAATTAATTGCGTTAGTGAGCGCGAGTGTGAGACCGGAAAATCATAGGTTGCTAAACGCAACCTTTCCTGCCGAAAGTACTTAACTGATTTATATATCTCGAGGCATCTCGGAATTATTTCGCACACGCCCTACCTCAGACACGACGCATCGTCTATTGCTCACCACCTTTCGACGGTTGCGTAGCACACACATACAAAACAATAAATGGCTGCTACCAATGCACTATGGGTAAAAAGTCGATTTTTTTTGGCATTTATTCAAAAAAAATTTTGTTTACAATTTAAAATTTTCTTT